GAGGGGGAAGAGGATGTGTTCCTGGCTTTTGCCCAGGGACCGACTCCTCCCAGGGGTCCCATACGGCAGGCCTTGGACAAGGCCTTCTTTATATTCCTGGCCCTCTTTCTGACCCTACTGACGCTGGAGGCTCTTTACAAGCTCCTGTGGCCGCTGCCATGGGCAACATTTGGGGAATGGCTTCTGGGAACACCTCAGAAGGAGGATGAGCTGGAACTGTGACCACCTTTTCCATAAACACCCTCTTACCCTGGCAAGGAGGTGAGAGGGGAGATGGGGGAGGTGGGACTGTTGGGAACTATGGAGGGGACACTTGGATAGTTAAGAGCAGCTGTCTAAAATTTCTGCACCTATACTCCAGGAAACTATTTAAAAGTTAGTGCTTCTCACATATTTTTAAGTAAGCATCTAAATTTTTTCATCATTAATTTAAATTATTTCAAGGATGCAATTCCTGGCATATTGAAAATATTCACATTTTAGCCCTATTTTTTCTCAGTGGTTAGAGCATTGGCCCTCAGACTGAGGGTCTGCGGTTCCATTCTGGTCAAGGGCACATACCTGGGTTGCAGGATGGAGCATGTGCAGGATATAACCAATTGATGTGTCTCTCTCACATTGATGTTTCTCTTTCTCTCTCCCTCCATCCCTCCCTCCCTCCCTTCCATTCTCTTAAAAAAATCAATGGGGGGCCGAAACCGGTTTGGCTCAGTGGATAGAGCGTTCAGCCGGTGGACTGAAAGGTCCTGGGTTCTATTCCGGTCAAGGCCATGTGCCTGGGTTGCGGGCACATCCCCAGTAGGAGGTGTGCAAGAGGCAGCTGATCGATGATTCTCTTTCATCGATGTTTCTAACTCTCTATCCTTCTACTTTCCTCTGTAAAAATCAATAAAATATATTTAAAAAAATAATAATAAATAAAACAAATTTTTAAAAAAATCAATGAGGGAAAAATATCCTCCGGTGAGGATTAACAACAAAAAGAAAATATTCACATCTATACTAAAAAAAGGGTAATATGCTAATTAGAGCAGATATACCTGGTGTATTCTGGACATCCTTCCTGACAAAGCCAGGGCCCAAGCAAAGTTGCCCAGGGTCCCAGGTACCTGTGGCTGGCTAGAGGAAGAAAGCCTGAGTCCCAGGTGTGGGGGGTGAGGCAGAGGCAGTTAGGGGTGATCAGGCTGGCAGGTGACCAGTTACAGGTGATCAGGCTATCAGGCAGGCAAGCAGGTGGGAGCCAGTGGTCCGGATTGCGAGAGGGATGTCTGCCATTTTAGGCCCGATCCCATAGGAATCCCGAGGATGCAAGCGGGCTGAGGGATTCCCCGCTCTGTGCACGATTTTGTGCACTGGGCCTCTAGTTTTTAAATAAGACAATTAAATTACACTTTTGAATATCCAGAGGAATTGAAATATCAGAATTGGAACATTAAAAATACATAAGGCCCTAGCTGGTTTGGCTCAGTGGATAGTGTTGGGCTGGGGACTGAAGGGTCCCAGGTTTGACTCCTAGGCAGGACACATGCCTGTGTTGTGGGCTTAATCCCCAGTGTGGAATGTGCAGGAGCCACCAATCAATGATTCTCTCTCATCACTGATGTTTCTATCTCTCCCTCTCTGAAATCAATAAAACAAAAAAGCGTATGACTTTAAAAAAAAATAAGTAAGCTCTCTACATTTGGAAAACATTATTTTTCTTCTTTTCCTCCTTTAACTCCTACAACCATTCCATTTTTCCAGAGACAATTTTATGCTTTTATACTTGAAAGTCTCTGATGAAAAATATTTTTCTTTGTTGTGACCAAAATTTGTTTTAAAAAATTTCTTCAGCCAAAACCAGTTTGGCTCAATGGATAGAGCATCTTCAGCCGAAACCGGTTTGGCTCAATGGATAGAGCACCGGCTTGGGGACTGAAAGATACTGGGTTCGATTCAGGTCAAGGGCATGTACCTTGGATGCGGGCATATCCCCAGTAGGGGGTGTACAAGAGGCAGCTGATCAATGGCTCTCTCTCATCAATGTTTCTAACTCTCTCTCTCCCTTCCTCTCTGTACAAAATCAATAAAATATATATTTTTTAAAAATTTCTTCAGGGTTACCATTACAACTGTAATGACAACAGAACTGATCAAATAACATGAAGATTGTACACAATTTTATCAGTTAAAAATTTTTAAATACATTTTTATTTTAAAATATATTTTATTGATTCTTTACAGGAAGAGAGAGGAATAGAGAGTTGGAAACACCAATGAGAGAGAATCATCAATCAGCGGCCTCTTGCACATGTGCCTGCAACCAAGGTACATGCCCTTGACTGGAATCGAACCTGGGACCTTTCATTCGCAGGCTGATGCTCTATCCACTGAGACAAACCAGTTTCTGCTAAAAATAATTTTTAATGAGTAGATATGGTGGTGTTTATGGTGCCTACATATCTGTTTATTTAAGACAAGGTAAGATTATCTCTAAGCGAATTCTTGGTTGAGAACTGTACTTTAAAAAAAAAATATATATATATATATATATATTATTGATTTTCCACAGAGAGGAAGGAAGAGGGATAGAGAGCTAGAAACGTAGATGAGAGAGAAACAGATGAGATGACCGGAATCGAACCTGGGACCTTTCAGTCCCCAGACCAACGCTCTATCCACTGAGCAAAATTGGTTTCGGCGAGAACTGTACTTTTTTTTAAGAGGAAGAGTCTATTGTAAAAAGGGAAAAGGAAAGAAAAGAGCCTCCACTGCAGGCATTTACTCGGGAAGACTAATTTGGGGAAAGTTGAGGATCTGAACATTAAATTCCTTCGTCTTCCAAGTCCTGTGCTGTCTGGAGAGCTCCTTCTCCTGGATTCGAAGCCGGCAGCTTGGGGCCTGAAGGCGGGCGCGTTGTTCTTTAATGGAAGGGCGGGCTGAGGCTCCGGCCGGGGTTCGAGAGGTTGGAACTCTGCGGTCCAGGGCGACAAGACGCTCACCGCCCGGAGTGCGCGGCGGTGCTGCCGTGCCTTTCGGGCGCCCCAGGACCTCCCTCACCTTTGGACCCAACCTTGCCTCCAGCCCCTGCAGCCTCCCCAAAACGGGGCGAGGGGGTGCGGTGAGGCGGGCGTCCACGTTGGCTTCTCTCTTCGTTCTTTCCTCAGCTCTCCGGGGGAAGGAGACGAGGCCCGGGACCCGAGGCTCCTTTCGTCCGCGGCCTCCGGCGCCATTCGCAGACCCTCCTGGGCCCCAGCCCCGGCCCTGGCGCTCCGGTCCTCACGGCCGGCGCCGGAGACCCCTCAGGACGGGCGGAGAAGCTCCTGCGTCCCACTTACTTGCTGGCCACTCGTTCTGCGGTGACGCTTGAAAAGCAAATAACAATGTAAAGCGCAGCACGCTGTGGTCCCGTGTGCACGTGCGTCGCTTTCCGGAGCGGGAGGCGTGGAAGTAGCCGGGCGCGCAGCCCGGGGCGGGAGGGGAGGCGCCACCGGTGGGAGCAGGCACCCGGCGGGTAGGAGGGCAGCGCGGGCGGGCTCCACAACAGCCCCTCGGAAGGGAAGGGCCTAGTTCCCGCCTGAAACTCCCGCCTCCGGTGCACCTGGCGCAGCTCGGAGGGCCCAACTCCCCGGCCGCCCGGCCCGTCGCCCCGCGCTTCCTTGGAAAGGTGGCCCCGCCCTTCCGGCACGCGGCTCGCCGGCGGTTGGTCCGCCGCAGGGAGTTTCCGATTGGCCGAGGCTCGGAGAGGCCGGGTGAAGAGAGCTCCGCTGGCGGCGCTCTGGAGTCGGGACCAGTCAAAGCCGTACGACAAAATGGCGGCCCCCAGTTGCTGCCGGACGCGCGGCGGCAATAAGCCCGCCCCTAAGGTCAAGCGGAAGGCAAGCCCACACTGCGCCGGCGGCACTGGAGGCGTTCGGGGGTCGGCTTACTGTCACTTCCGGCCACTGGGTTCCGTACGTCAATATGGCCGCGCTCAGGTGCTTATAGGGGGAAACTGCGACTTCCGGTCCAGAATAGGGCCTGCGGTGGGAGGGGGAAGGAAAGGGGATGGAACCATGCGAGCTTCTGATATCCGCGCTGAGGGTCGCCCCGAGAGGCCGTTTCTGAGGTGCGGGCCGGACGGTGCGGAGTCGGAGGCGGGAGCGGTACTGTCGAGGGAGAGGTACTGGGAGTCCCGGGCGCCAAGTCTGGGGCAAGCGGTGGTACTCTCCCTCCTGTCCCCGAAGGGGAGTGGGGAGGGCGGGGGCTGAACTGGGGGAGGGGGCTTGGCGGGAAGCTCATCTGGGGGAAGGAGCCAGACCTAGGGTTGGGATCCGAGAGGAATCGGGACAACCCAGTGAGGGGCGCCCAGTCGGTTGCCGGTCGCAGAGAGAATGGGGAAGATTAGGGTGGGGTGAGAGGGAGGAGACTTTAGGTGAGATACGACCAACCTGACCCCCCGGGTTGAGACCCATCAGGGGTGGAATATGGAGATAATTCAGAAAGGGGAATGTGTTGTTGGGAGGGAATCTTCTTTGATTCAGAGAGCCTATGAGTTGGGGTGATCCTTCAGGATGGGGTGAAGGTGTGAATTTGACAGGAGAGACGGAGCGGGGAAACAGGTGAGGCGGGCTGACAGGGGTGCAGTTTTAGTATCTGTGCCAGAGGATGTCGGTGAAACCTGGAGCGCAGTGTAGGAAGTGGGCCAGGGGTTGAGAGTAAAAATCAACTTGGCAACTAAGAGAAATACTGGGGAAATGCAACTGAAAAACCGGATGTGATATGAGGGGTGGAGCTGGGGGTGAGGACTTGAGGTTTCAGTTGCATTGGGGCTCCCTACCACAGGGCCCCCAAACACAGTGCTAATCATTGCTGAGGAGGGGCAGCAAGGGCATGTTGGGCGCTACTGAAGATGTGATGTGTGAGATGAAGGGATGGGGCTGGGGGGAGGGGGGGGAGGAGGCTCTTTCTAAGGCCCGTCCCCTTCCAGCAGGAATCACAAACTTCCCAGCACTTCCGCCCTCCTGGGGGTGTGATCCTCCATGGCCTCCGATAACAGTATCATTGTGCTGGATGATGATGATGAAGACGAAGCAGTTGTGCAGCCAGGGCCCTCCCACGCGCCCCCCCACCCGGCCTCACCCCCACACCCGGCCTCACCCCTCCACCCGGCCTCACCCCTCCACCCGGCCTCACCCCTCCACCCGACCTCACCCCCCCACCCGACCTCACCCCCCCACCCGGCCTCACCCCTGGCAGAAGCCCCTGCCTCCTCTCAGCCCCATGGGGCAGGAGGGAACAGTAGTTCTGGCGGCAAGAAATGCTACAAGTTGGAGAATGAGAAGCTTTTTGAAGAGGTGAGTTTCGGGGAGAAGACTTGTATCCGGGGAGAAGGGTGGCCGCCTGGCTCTCCTGTCCTTTCCTCCCCACTAATCCTACCTGCCTTCTTTCTCTCACCCCTGCCCTGTCTCTTCCCCTCCCTCTTCCCCTGAACCCCCAGTTCCTTGAGCTGTGTAAGGCGCAGACGGTGGACCATCCTGACGTGGTGCCGTTCCTCAGTAAGCGGCAGCAGCGGGCCCACTCTGTGTTTCTGGCCTCGGCGGAGTTCTGCAACATCCTCTCCCGGGTGCTGTCCCGGGCCCAGAGCCGCCCGGCTAAGCTCTATGTGTACATTAACGAGCTCTGCACCGTCCTCAAGGCTCACTCGGCCAAGAAAAAACTGAACGTAGCCCCTGCCGCCACCACCTCTAGTGAGCCCTCCGGGAGTGACCCTCCTGCAGACCCCTCCTCAGACCCCACGAATGCCGGGACCACGGGCTCTGAGGCCCCAAGGCCCCGTGGCTCCCGGCGGCAGATCCAGCGCTTAGAGCAGCTGCTCGCCCTCTATGTGGCAGAGATTCGACGGCTGCAGGAAAAGGAGTTGGATCTCAAAGAATTGGATGATCCAGATTCCACCTACCTGCAGGAGGCCAGGCTGAAGCGGAAGCTGATCCGCCTCTTTGGGCGGCTGTGTGAGCTGAAAGACTGCTCTTCGCTGACAGGCCGAGTCATAGAGCAGCGCATCCCCTACCGCGGCACCCGCTACCCCGAGGTCAACAGGCGCATAGAGCGGCTCATCAACAAGCCGGGGCCTGATACCTTCCCCGACTACGGAGATGTGCTGCGGGCCGTGGAGAAGGCGGCGGTTCGGCACAGCCTGGGCCTCCCCCGGCAGCAGCTCCAGATCTTGGCTCAGGATGCCTTTCGAGATGTGGGCGTCAGATTACAGGAGCGGCGCCACCTCGATCTCATCTACAACTTCGGCTGTCACCTCACAGATGATTACAGGCCAGGTAGGGGTTAGTGAGGTGCCCATCGATTACCCTTAGATGTCAGACGTGTGGTAGAGGGGGCATCTCTAGTCCCTCCTATTGGGTTTGGGCTGAATGCTCTGACTTTATATCTTCCCACACAGGCATTGACCCTGCACTGTCAGACCCTGCCCTGGCCCGGCGCCTTAGGGAAAACCGCAGCTTGGCTATGAGCCGACTGGATGAAATCATCTCCAAATATGCGATGATGCAAGACAAGAGTGAGGAGGGCGAGAGACAGAAGAGGAAAGCCCGGCTCTCCCAAACCACCTCTTCCCATTCTCCAGATCCCCCCAAAGCCTCCTTGGATTCTGGTGAGGTGTGGAAGGGAGACACCCCTAGAGAAACCTTGTTCTCCCCTGCACTGGCCAGCAGGAGTCTAGGGTGACTGCTGGGGAGTTTGCAGAAGGAACACAGACCCAGACCCTCTGGGGCAAAGGATTTCTTTTTCTTTTCTTTTTTTGTTAGTCCTCATCTGAGAATTTAAAATATATATATATTTTTATTGATTTCAGGGGGGAAAAAAAGGGAGAGGGAGATAAAAAACATCAATGATGAGAGAGAAACACTTATCAGCTGCCCCCTGCCCGCCCCCTACTGGGGATCAAGTCCCCAACCTGGGCATATGCCCTGACTGGGAGTCAAACCATGATCTCCTGGTTCATAGGTTGATGTTCAGCCACTGAGCCACACTGGCTGGACTGAGGATATTTTTTCTTTTTTAAAATATATGTTATTGCCAAAACCGGTTTGATTCAGTGGATAGCGCATCGGTCTGAGGACTGAAAGGTCCCAGGTACAATTCCGATCAAGGGCATGTACACTGGTTGCGAGCACATCCCTGGTGTGGGGTGTGCAAGAGGCAGCTGATGGATGTCTCTTATCGATGTTTCTAGCTCTCTAACTCTCTCCTCTCCCTTCCTCTCTGTAAAAAATCAATAAAATATATATGTTACAATTTTAGAGAGGAAGGGAAAGGGAAAGAAAGAGAGAAACATCAATGATGAGAGAGAATCATTGATCGGCTGCCTCCTGCACGTACCCTTTCTCCCAACTCCCCACTGGGGATCAAGCCCACAACCCGGGCATGTGCCCTTGGCCAGAATTGAACCTGGGACCTTTCAGTCCACAGGCTAACGCTCTATCCATTGAGTAGAGCCAGGTAGGGTGAGGATATTTTTTCCATTGCTCTTCAGAGTCTAGAGGAGAGTGAGAGAGGGAAAAGGAGAGAAAAAGTGGTGTGAGAGACATATCCACTAGTTGCCTGCCTTGCGCCCCGCAGGAGGAAGGGAAGGGCGAGGGGGGGAGTAGGTATGTGTCCTTAGTGCCCTTAACAAGGAATGGAACCTGTGACCCTTAGAGTAGGTTGGACATTCTAACCACTGAGACACCCTGGTCAGGGAAGGGATTTCTTAGAGAAACCCCTTTGTCCCGCAGGGCCCTAGTGGAATGGCATCCCAGGAACACCCTACCTCTTCCAAGGCTGAGACAGATGATGAAGAAGATGAGGAAAGTGAGGAAGAGGAGGAAGAAGAGGAGGAGGAAGGGGAAGAGGAGGCAGAAGAAGAAGAGGAGGAAGAAGAGGAGACTACAGATTCTGAAGAAGAGGGGGATCTGGAACCAATACCGGAAAGTCAGGAGGAAGAGGAAGAGGAGGAAGAGAAAGGTATGACAAGGAAAGTCTTTTCATGTGTCAGTTCCTTGTGTTGGGCACGGAGCACCTGTTTGAGACCCTTCTTGGCGGGGTTCTTTCCCTAGTTCTCATGCCACCCCTCCCCCTTTTCTTTTTCCAGATAAGGACGGAGACCAGAGCTCCAAGTGCCCACCACAGACCTCCACTGCAAAGAGCCTGGAACCCAGCACAGGGATCAGCGGGTCTTCAGAGGAGCAGCCAAACAGAGGACTCGTAGTGTTACCATCTTCGCTGCCAGAAAAGCCCCTGGCACTCGCCAGCACAGATGCAGGAAGCAATGAGGACTGTCAGGAGGAGATGTCCCAGGAGAAAGAGAGCCCTGTGTCTCAGGTCTTTGAGCTTGAGATTGAAGCCTTGACTGTGGATACCACCCCTTCCCCTGAGGAGGGGGACATTTCCTCTTCCAGGAGGCAGTCAGAGGACCCCCTCACCACTGTGGTGGAGAATGGAGCAGCCATGGTCACCTCCACTTCCTTCAATGGCGGTGTCTCTCCTCATGCCTGGGGAGATTCTAGTCCCCCCTGCAAGAAATTTCGGAAGGAGAGGCAAACAGGAGCAGGACCTTTAGGAAACAGGTAACGAGGAGGAAGAAGAGGGGATCGAAGGAGGGATTGCAGGGGACTTTCTAAGCCGAGTATTGAGGAACTGAGTCTGCTGGGGAAGACTGACACTGTCCCTCCAGTCCCAGACTGCCTACACTTATGTTTCTGTCCCTAGCTATGTGGAAGGGCAAAAGGAAGTCCATGAGAAGACTGAGAAGAAGATATGTACCCTGCCCAGCCCACCTTCCCCTTTGGCTTCCATGGCACCAGTTGCTGATTCCTCAACAAGGGTGGACTCTCCCAGCCACGGCCTGGTGACCAGCTCCCTCTGTAGCCCATCTCCAGCCCAGTTGTCCCTAGCCCCCCAGTTACAACCCTCCCAGCCTAGCACTTACAAGGTAAGAGGGCGAGGCTGTTTTTCCTGACTTCATTCTCTTTCACTGTCTGTTCACTTTCAGGTGCACCATCTGAATATTGCACTCACCACATCCTGTCTTCCTTTTTCCTAACCCAATTTTTAATCTTTAATAAGTCCTTCCCGGTTTCTCCTTCCCCTGTATTCCAGACCTCTCTGACTCTTGTGTCTCACTCGATTGCAGATGAGTGTGGCCACACAGTGCGATCCAGAGGAGATCATCGTGCTCTCAGACTCTGATTAGCTGCTTCCCCGCCTCGCCCTGACTCCAGAATGTTTGAGGATAGGATTTGGAAGCAGATGACTGAGGAAGGGATGGACTGAGCTAATCCTCTTTTGGTGGTGTTTCTTTTAAAAAAACAAAAACCAAAAAAAAAAAAATCTTGTTTTACAATAAACAATAAAGTTCTTTTCTTATTGTAACCCTGTCTTTGTCCTTCTGCTCTCACCAATTGGCACCCGCTGTTCTCTAGCTCAGAGTTTGCCGGCCCAGGCCCTGGCATAGCCTTGGATCTGCTAGCCTACCCTTAGCCCCGCTCCGCTGGAGTTTCACCTGGAAAAATGTGTCTTTACTTTCCCACTTCGAGCGGTAGGAGTAAAAAGGCCAATCAGGGGCCCACTCAAGGTTACATGGCCAATCCAGGCCCGGAGGAAGGGGGCGGGGCTTCAGGGATAATGGGGCGTTTAGATCCCGAAAACGCGCTAATGGCCACAGCCAAGGGAAGAGGCAGGCTTACAGAATTAAAGGAGAAGGAGTGCTTCGGCCAAACAAAGTCCTAAGACCTCTGCGGCTGAAGAGATCTGGTACCTTTAAGACGTGATGAAGTAACTGTGTTTAAAGGAGAAGTGACTGAGTCGGCTAAATATTGCCCAGCGACAAGGGCTGGGTGCCCGCCTGTGCCTTTAAAGCCAGACGGGCAGGAGGCGGAGCAGAGGCGGAGGGCGGAGGGAGTCGGCGCAAGATGGCGGCGGGAGGGGCCCAAGCTGCGGCTCTGGCGGCCGAGTGAGGGGCGGGGGGGCCCCGGGGCGCGCGGCCCGGTAAGCGGAGACGCGCAGGGTTTAGGGGCGCCTTCCGGGTGGGAGCGGAGATCAAAGTAACTCTTGGGGCGGAGCAGAGGGGGGCGGGGCCCGGCGTGGGCGGGGGTAGGCAATGGGCGGGGCCGAAAAGGCCAGAGGGGCGGGTCTTGAAGGGGGCGGGGCCGAATTACTTGGGGGCGGGTCTTGACGGGGCGGGGGGAGGGGCGGACAAAGGGGCGTGACCCTCGAAAGAGCTTGGAGCATTGCCTAAAGGGAACTGCAGAGAGAGAGTGGTTTTCAGTAACGGAGCAGGCCTGCCCCCTCCCAAGAAAAGGGTACAAAACATCAAAAAGGTAAATTTTGGAAAGAGGCTCTCTGGCAGATGGGAAGTTCCAAGGGGAGGCACCCCATTCCCATGGAGTACCTATTTCTCTAACCTCCAAGGAAAGCACTGAATTGGAGTCAGGACAACTGAGTTTGCTGGCGCTGCCACTGAATGGCTGAGGCCCTGAATAATCTCTAGGTATTTCTTAGCCGCAGTTTCCTCACCTATCAAGTGGGGTTGAGAGGAATACCTTACTTCACAGTGTTGTGTGGAGAGTTACTCAAATAATGGGTGCGAACATATTTTTAAACTATAAAGGGCTGTTTCATTGTGTTATCATTTTTTTTTCTTTCCAGAGACCCCCCCGGCCGCCCTCCTCCTTCCCTTGTTCCTGTGGCTGGGGGGGTACCACCTCCCTCCACCCTCCACACCATGGAGCCATCTCCTTTGTCTCCAAGTGGGGCAGCACTCCCTCTGCCTCTGTCGCTGGCTCCGCCCCCTCTGCCTCTGCCTGCAGCTGCGGTGGTACACGTGTCCTTCCCAGAGGTGACCAGTGCCCTCCTGGAGTCCCTCAACCAGCAGAGACTTCAGGGCCAGCTCTGCGATGTGTCCATCAGAGTGCAGGGCCGGGAGTTCAGAGCTCATCGTGCCGTCCTGGCTGCCTCCTCCCCTTACTTCCACGACCAGGTCCTGCTCAAGGGCATGACCTCCATCTCACTGCCTAGCGTCATGGACCCAGGCGCCTTCGAGACTGTCCTGGCTTCAGCTTACACTGGTCGCCTCAGCATGGCCGCTGCTGACATTGTCAACTTCCTCACAGTGGGTTCTGTGCTCCAGATGTGGCACATTGTGGATAAATGCACTGAACTCCTTCGCGAAGGCCGGGCCTCTGCCACCACCACCGTCACCACGGCCGCGGCCACCTCAGTCACTGTCCCTGGTGCTGGGGTCCCCTCGGGGAGCGGGGCCGCCCTGGCCTCTGCCACCATGGGCTCTGGGCGCTCCCACGCCTCCAGTCGGGCCAGTGAGAATCAGTCTCCCAGCAGCAGCAACTACTTCAGCCCCCGAGAGTCAACTGATTTCTCATCTCCCTCCCAGGAGGGGTTTGCAGCTCCGGCAGCGGGCGGCGGGGAGCGTCGAGGAGGCGGCCCTGTATTCCCAGCCCCTGTGGCTGGCAGTGGGAGCGCTGCCTCCGGGAAGCTGCTGCTGGAGGCGGATGAGCTGTGCGATGATGGTGGAGACGGAAGGGGTTCGATGGTTCCGGGGGCGGGGCTCCGGAGGCCTACCTGTGTGCCCCCCAGCATCATGCCACAGAAGCACTGGATATATGTGAAGCGAGCTGGACACTGCCCAGCATCAGCGCTGGTTTCCCAAGACCAAGATCTGGAAGAGGAGGAGGAGGAGGAAGACCTGGTTTTGACTTGTGAGGATGATGAAGAGGAGGAGCTGGGGGGAGGGTCCGGGGTCTCAGCTGGGGGAGGACCGGAGGCCACCCTTAGCATAAGTGATGTCCGGACTCTGAGCGAGCCCCCAGGCAAGGGAGAGGAGCAGGTCAACTTCTGTGAATCCTCCAATGACTTTGGCCCCTATGAGGCGGGGGGTCCTGGGGCAGAGCTGGATGATCCAGGGAGGCCCACGCCTTCCTCCTATGCCCCCTCCCTCCCATCGCGGCCTCTGCTTCCAGTAGATGTGCAGGGCAACCAGATCCTAGTCTTCCCATCGCCTTCCTCCTCCTCACAGGCTCCAGCCCATCTGCCGGGGAACCAAGCCGAGCACGGGGTTGTGACTCTGAGGGGCACATCCGCAGGGAGCCTGGGTGCCCCGGGGGGCGGCGCTGGTGGGACCGCCGGAGGGACAGCCAGTGGGGACGGGAATAAGATCTTCCTGTGCCACTGCGGAAAGGCCTTCTCCCACAAGAGCATGCGAGACCGGCACGTGAACATGCACCTCAACCTGCGGCCCTTTGACTGCCCCGTGTGCAACAAAAAGTTCAAGATGAAGCACCACCTGACGGAGCACATGAAGACACACACAGGCCTCAAGCCCTACGAGTGCAGCGTCTGTGCCAAGAAGTTCATGTGGCGGGACAGCTTCATGCGCCACCGAGGACACTGTGAGCGCCGGCACCGCCTGGGCGCGGGCGGGGCTGGGCCCGGACCCTCAGGGCCAGCCTTGCCACCCAAGAGAGAGTCCCCTGGGCTGGGCGAAGGCAACCTCACCGAGGGGAGTGGGGCCACGGCCCCGCCGGGCCGCGGGGCCTGGTCCCCGCCAGGCGCCCACAAAGTGGAGATGGGCTTCAGCGGCGGCGGAGGAGCAAACTGAAGGGGCGGGCTGTGGGGTAGTTTTCAGGTCAGAGGATGCGGAGCCAGAGCGCTGTGGCCCCAGCCGCCCTCCCACGGCTGTCACTGTCTTCCTTACCTTACGGACTTGTACATACTCCGCAGGCAACCACGTGGGCCATCACCCCCCATTCCACTCCTCAGCCCCTCCCCCTCCAAGTAACCCGAAGCCCTTCCTTTCCTCAGGGCGCACCTAGTGGGCGAGGGAGAGGGTGCCTGTTGAGCATCCTGGAGTCCCAGGGTCAAGGGTCAGGTGGTTGTCGTCTGTATCTTAAGTCTGTGTGTGGGGACCAGGCCTTGAAGCCCCATCCTTGTCCTAGCAGCCTCCCCCAAGGATGTGCTCCTTACATCTACCCTAACCTCCCCTTCCTTGGGGCCCCTCTATTCTCTTTGGGGAAAGAGGAGACAGGGAGGGAGGAAGTCGTAGGAATACAAGGTTTTTATTTTAAATCTTATTTTTTTTAAAGGTGATTAAAATATTTATTGGTCGGTTCACTTGGCTTCCCACGACCTCTATGTGTTTGCGGGGACCTGGAAGTAGGGGAGGCACAGCATGGTGCTGGGGGAGGAGGTGGGAGGAGCCTAGGGTTGGATTGTGTCGGGCTGGGAGGTGCTGTGGCCCGGGGCGCGGGGCTCGGACCCGGACCAGACTGGAGTTCAGGCGTGGCTCCCTCCAGTGAGGGATGCACCTGCCGCCGTGCCACCGGGGCGGGGATTTCCGCCGCCCTCTGGCCGGCAGTTGGAGGAAAGAGAAAGTGAAAGGGGAGCGGCAGGCTTGGGGCTGAAGAGATCGCGGCGCCATGGAGCCCCTGTCCCTACTCCTGGCCGTGGCTTTGGGTGAGCGAGCCCCCGCCTCTTTGCCCCGGAACCCAAGGGGGGCGGGAGGGAGCGAAGTGGGGTGACCTCGCCCCACGGCCCTGCAAGGGCACAGAGGCCGGGTCCCGCCCCCAGCCGCCCTCAGCGCGCCCCTCTCACAGGCTTGGCGAGCGCCGTCTCGGCGGGGCCGGCCGCCATCGAGTGCTGGTTCGTGGAGGACGCGGGCGGCGGCCGCCTGGCCAAGAGGCCGGCCGCGCTGCTGCTGCGCCAGGGCCCGGGGGCGCCGCCGCCCCGGCCCGACCTGGACCCCAAGCTCTACCTCCGAGTGCACGGTGAGTCCCGGCTCCTCCCCTCCACGTCTCCCCACCGCGGTTTGGGCGTTTGAAGCCCCCCCCCCCCCCCTTTCGGAGCCCTGACCGCCCGCGCCTCCCCGCAGACCCCGCGGGCGCCCTGCGCGCGGCCTTCCGGCGCTACCCGGCGGGCGCCCCGGCCCCGCACTGCGAGATGAGCCGCTACGTCCCGCTGCCCGCGCCCGCCAAGTGGGTCAGCGGCCTGGCCCCGGGGCACAGCTGCCCGCGGGCCCTGGACGGGCCCTGGTTCATGGTCAGCGTGTCCAGCCCGGTCGTCAGCCTCTCCAGCCTCCTGCGCCCTCAGTCCGAGCCTCAGCCGGAGCCCGCAGTCATCACCGCGGCAACAGGTAGCGGGAGGGTGTGGGCCACTCGGGGGTCTGAGGGTGCAAGCTGGGTAGACTTGAGCTAGGAGTTGCTTCCTGATTTGCAAAGCGAGTGGCTGGCTAAAAGGAAAGTACCTCTGCCTGCCCCAGCCCGGCCACTGAACACAGCACTCACCACCACCCCCGGGTCTGGGCGGGGCTGGGGAGGCGGGGTTTCCCGGCCATATAAGGCCACGTGACTTCCGGGCCGCGGAGCAGAACTTTCCTCTCCTCCCAGATCCCTGCCTCGCTAGGCACCCCAGCCCACCCGTGCCCACATCCGGTGCTTCCCAGTCAGCGAAGTGAGGGCTCTCCGCCTTCAGACAGCCCTTCCCCACGGCACCTGGGGGTGCAGGCTCCAGTCACCCAGTGGTGTGCCCGAGGGGTGCCAGGGTAGCGGGGACCAGGCCGTTCCCATTGCAAGCAGCGGGCATCGGGGTGAAGCCCGCGGCCACCATTTCGCTGGGGTTGGGGTAGGGGGCCGGGCGTGGGTGAAGCAAGAAGGGGGCAGGTCTGACCGGATGAGCAGGAGCCGCACACGCTGGCAGCGGAGTGGGAGCATGTGAGTCCCACGCTTCCCTCAGTTTTGTGCGACTTTATGTAAACAACACACCCTGACCAGCAGGCCAGCCCCAACCTAGCCCTGCCCCAGAGCCCCCTCCCACCACCGGCCGCACTGAGCGGGATCACCCGCAGGGCCAGGGAACCGACCCAGCACAGCCCCATCCGTTCCTGCTCCCTGCACCCCCCTCCGGGCTGGGGCAGGAGCACTCCGCCCGCGCGGGCTCTATGGCTCTGGGTGTGGAGGAGTATCTCCCAGGGCCACTGGTTTCACTGGAGTATCTCCCAGGGCCACTGGTTTCACTGGAGTGGGGCGGGACAGCCCCTTTCTCTCAGCCTGGTTTTTCAGCCGCAAAATGTGTCCGCCGTTTCCCATCTGCCTTTCCGTTGTTGTGACTATCAAGGGAGCCCCTTTGCTAATTTATTCACTGATTCTATAAATATTTATTAGCACCAAGAACAAATTTAGGACCCAGTAGTTCCTACAGGCTGCAAATAAGAGTCCTCTTGGGAGTTTCTGGAAAGTCCTGGGACCACCCCCTGGCCTGCATGGCTCAGTTGGTTGGAGAATCATTGTGCAGTGCACCGGGAGGTGTGGGTTCAATTCCCCCGTCAGGGTACATAGTTAGGTTGGGGATTCAATTCCCGGAGCCGCTTTGGGAGAGTATGAGAGGCAACAGGTCAAGATCTCTCTCTCTCTCCCTCTCTCTCTCTCTCTTCTCTCTCATCAATTTTTAAAAAGATAAAATATACTGAGTCCCACTCCAGGCAAATTAAATCAGAATCTCTGGGATGGCCAGTACATAAGGTTACAAAGGTGATATGTAGATTCTGTTCTCAAGAAGATTCTTGGCAAACTTGTCACACACACCACCACCAGGGGGAGCCAGGGGGAGTGTGTGAGGGGGCTGGGTGAGGTGGGGGGCATGGAATCTTACCCACCAGAGCGAAAATCTTTCCAGAGTCACAGACCATTGATAATTTTGCTAATATACTTTAAAATGTTTGTTGACAAGTGTACTTTATTAGCAGTATACATTGTATGATATTTAAGTTTCATTCTTTCAAAATACTGTTATGGAAAATCTCAAAGATACACAACAGGACAGAGAATGGTATAATGAACCCCTACATACCCATCAGCTTTGTATAGATAATACATTTTATCAAAGCATATCCTGACACCTACTTTTCTCTCTTTTTTAAAAAAAACTGACTTTGAGAGAGAGAGGAAAGAAGAGGGATAGAGAGAGAAACATTGATGAGAGAAACATTGATTGGCCGCCTCTGCACACCCTACACTGGACATGTGCCCTGATCAGGAATTGCACCCACGACCTCTTGGTTGAGCCCTGCGGCCAGGCATTCTCCTCTCTTTTGAAGTGTTTTAAAGAAGATCCTTGGCATTATATTATTTCACTCATAAGTAATTCAGAAAGTATCTCTTTCCCCCCCCATGAATTTTTTCTCTTCCTCTTTGCTCAATCCCTCCACACCCGTCAGAAACCCACTCCCACCCCCGCTGTCAGCCTGCTCTCTCTGTCTCTGTTTTGCTTGTTATTTTGTTCATTAGAATCCACACATGAGTGAGATCACATGTTACTTGTCTTTCTCTAACTGGCTTGTTTCACTAGCATGCTGCTCTCCAGGTCTACCTATGCTATTGCAAAGGGTAAAATTTCTTTCTTTTTTCTTTTCTTTTCTTTTCTTTTCTTTTCTTTTTTTTTTCTTTTTTTTTTTTTTTTAAATTGAGTAGGGAAAGTATCTTTATTAGATAAGGACTTTAAAAAACAAACTGACTGGGGCGGCTCAGTGGTTGAGCATTGAGCTATGAAGTACAGGGTCACAGTTAAATTCCCAAGTCAGGGCACATGCCCGGGTTTCCTTGTGGGCTCTATCCCCATTGTGGGGTGGGGCAGCCAATCAGTGATTCTCATCATTGACATTTCTCTCTCTCCCTCTCCCTTCCTCTCTGAAATAAAACACATATGTGTTTAAAAACCACAGAAAACAAACCACAGCCCAGCCACTGATGTGACTTAGTTGGCTGAGGTGAAGTTGCCAGTTCGATTCCTAGTGGGGGCACATGCCTGAGTTTCAGGCTTGATCTCCCATTGGGGATGGTGAGGCAACCAATCGGTGTTTCTCATCAGTATTTCTAACTCTGCCCTATCCCTTTCTCTCAAGTCAACAAAACCATATTTCAAAAAACACTGAAATACCATTATCATACCTAACGAAACAAACAATAATTCCTTAATAACATTTAATTCCCAGCCCATATTAAAATTTCCCCAATTGTGTCAATGATATTATTTTAAGGGGATGTTTTTTGCTCAAATCAGAATAAAAAACAGGTCTATATATTATATTTGGTGGCTGTATCTGCTCTGGCTGCCATAACAAAATATCATAGGCCAGTGGCTGAAACTACAGGAATTTATTTTCTCACAGTTCTGGAGGCTGGGAGTCCAAGAGCAAGTAGAAGATCGAGGTGCCAGCAAGGCTGGTGTCTGGTGAGGGCTGGCCTCGATGGCCGTGTCATCACAGGGCGGGGAGACATCTCTGGTAGTTCTCTTCTCACGAGGACACCAGCTCTATCAGACTGGACTCTACATTTATGAGCTACTTTAACTTTCTCAGCTCCTCATAGCTCCTGTCTCCAAATATAGTCGTATTTCAGGTTAAAACTTGAGTATACAAATTTGGGGAAGAGGGAGACCATAGACATTCAGTTCATACAGTTTTGTCTCTCTTTTTAAAAAATCCTCACCGGGCCGAAACCGGTTTGGCTCAGTGGATAGAGCGTCAGTCTGCGGACTGAAGGGTCCCGAGTTCGATTCTGGTCAAGGGCATGTACCTTGGTTGCTGGCGCATTCCCAGTGGGGGATGTGCAAGAGGCAGCTGGTCGATGATTCTCTCTCATCGACGTTTCTGGCTCTCTATCCCTCTCCCTTCCTTTCTGTGGAAAATCAATAAAATATATATATTAAAAAAAAAATCCTCACCGGAGGATATATTTTTCATTGATTCTAGAAAAAGGAAGGGGGAGAGAGAGAAACATCGATGTGAGAAACATCGATCAGTTGCTTCATGTACATGCCAATGGGGGATCAAACACGCCACCTTTTGGTGTACCAGATGATGTTCTAACCAACTGAGTGACACTAGCCAGGGCTATAGTTTTGTCTGTTAAATCTCTTTTAAATTTGCCCCATCCCCTCCATCCCTTTCCCCTTCCCCCTGCCCCAGTTTTAACGGCTATTGATTTGTCCTTTGTTCTATAGAATTTCCCACATTCTATATTTGGCCAGTTGTTTACTCATTGGCTCATTTTCCTTGGTTCCTTTTTCTTCATATTTACTATAAATTGTAGTTAGATCTAGAGGCTTAATTAGATTTGTGTTTACGTTTTTTTCAGTAATCTATTCTCTCTATATAAAAGACTAAGCAACCGAACAAGCACTGCTCAGCCGACTGATGGGCGCCAGACACTGGGCTCACGGCTGGCCAGCACAGCTACTGTGGCATGAGCCTCTACCACCTCAACACGCTACAGAGTGCAGCGGCAGGCACAGCAGGGCCAGGCACGGGGGGGCCAGGGTGAGCGGGAGCGGGGTGGCACCCAGCCCGGGCTTCCCCCCAGCCACCTGCCACTTCAAGCACTACTACATTCCTCAGGGGATGCGGACTGCCAGCTATGGCCCAACCTGGGGATCAGGCCGAAACCCAAGGGTCCCAGATTGTGAGAGGCACAGGCCAGGCAGAGGGACCCCACTGGTGCACGAATCCGTGCACCAGGCCTCGAGTTCTTTATAACATTTGTTATCATTTACTTTTTTAAAAAATATATTTTATTGATTTTTTTACAGAAAGGAAGGGAGAGAGATAGAGAGTTAGAAACATTGATGAGAGAGAAACACCCATCAGCTGCCTCTTGCACAGCCCCCACCGGGGATGTGCCCGCAACCAAGGTACATGCCCTTGACTGGAATCGAACCTGGGACCTTTCAGTCCGCAGGCCGACGCTCTATCCACTGAGCCAAACCAGTTTCGGCTCATTTACTTTTTATAAAACAGAAAAGCAAGAAAAAGATGAAAGAAAAAAATACAGAAAAGCAAAAACCTATACAAGCTGCAAAAATAGAAATTTTCTTACTGTTCTGGCCCTACTCTATTTATACTTGTATTGTTACAAAGACTAGTTTGTGTGCTGCGGGCTAATGTTGCTTAAACTAGAGGCCTGGAGCATGATATCCATGCACTGTGGGAGGGGTGTCCCTCAGCCGGGCCTGAGCCCTCTCACAGTTCAGAACCCCTCGGAGGATATCCGCCTAAGCCGGCAGTCAGACATCCTGCTCGCAGTCTGGGGCTTTTGCAGTCCAGGACCCTTTGCTCCTTACCGCCCACCTGCAGCGGAGATGGGAGAGGCTCCCATCACCACTGCTGCACTCACCAGCCACGAGCCTGGCTTCTGGCTGAGCTCCTGTGTTGAGCGTCTGCCCCCTGGTGGTCAGTGTGCATCATAGCGACCTGTCATTCTGGCTTTTATTATATAGGATAATCCTTACTAAAGAGCACTGTTAGCCGAAGCCGGTTTGGCTCAGTGGTAGAGCGTCGGTCTGCGGACTGAAAGGTCCCAGGTTTGATTCCGGTTAAGGGCATGTACATTGGTTGCGGGCACATCCCCGGTAGGGGGTGTGCAGGAGGCAGTTGGTCAATGTTTCTCTCTCATCGACATTTCTATCTCTCTCCCTTCCGCTCTGTAAAAAATCAATAAAATATATTTAAAAAAAAAAAAAAGAGCACTGTTAGATTAAGGGTTAAACTGTGAAATCTTTAGGTTTTGTTATTTCATTTTTATTGATTTTAGAGAGAAAGAGGAAGGGAAGGAGAGAGAGAGAGAGAGAGACATTGATTAGTTGTTCTACTTATTCATGTGTACTCATTGGTTGACTCTTGTATGTGTCCTGACTGAGGATCGAACCTGCAACCTTAGCGTATGGGGATTACACTCTAGCCAGGTCAGGACAGGTTTTGTCATTAATCCTATAGGTTGTTTTTAGCAGTTCAAAAGTACGCTCTGGACTTCGATAAACTGAGTAATATGGTCTATTCTTTGTATTCTGTTGAACACAAACAACCCCATAAGGTCAGGAGAAGTTTAACCTTGTAGGCCTCAGAACTAGAATTGAAAATCACAGAGAGATGATCACAAGAGAAAAAAATTCTACTTTTACCTGGAGGAGCCAGACGTTTCTGGGAGGAAGTAGCAGTGGAACTGGCCTGAGGGACATGAGTTATTTAGATGTTTGGGAGGAAAAGGGGAAGGATCCTTATGACCAAAGCAAAAAAGTTCCCAATGATTAAGATTTTCTATTTAGAGTTTCTAAAAGGATTCTGTGTGGTTGGTTCTTGGGGTGCAAGAGAAGCCTGGAAAGGTGGCTTGTGGTTGAATTACCATACTCCGAAAGCTGGGCCTCATAGAGATAGTGAACCATTAGCCACACAGGTCGCTTCAGAGTTGGCTTACCGGGCAGGCAGGCTCCAGGTACCTAATCAGGACAGCTGCTCCAGTAGAGCACAGAGGTCTGGGTCCAGGTCTAGGCGAGCACCATCGCATGGAGTCATGATCCATCACTGTCTTCATCAAGAACGGCCTGGGGGTCCACGGAGGCTGGACTGGCCCAGGCTGTCAGATGTGCACTCGGGTCCCTCTGTTCCCCTCCACAAGCCACTCCAGCGGGCTGTGCCCAGAGCGGCCTGCACGGCTGTCCTTACGCCTCGCCTACTCCTCTCTAGGCCTCTCTGCTCCCCCTCAGCCACACTGGTCCCACCCGGTCCCAGGGCAAAGGCGACGCAGGGCGGGCTGGGAGGTGGCGTGTCTCAGGAAAGGAGGTGTCTTCAGAGGGACGGGTAAATTGGAGTTGAGTTGTCCCTCAAATCCATTTCTGTTTTTTCCTCCTTTCCCTCATGCCTCTGCATCTGCCTCCTCTCCCATCTTCCCAGCTGTGCTGACTGTCGTCACCCACACCCCTACCACTCGAACCCGCCTGGGACAGGACGCTCTGCTGGACTTGAGCTTTGCCTACATGCCCCCTACCCCAGAGGCCGCTGCTTCCCTGGCCCCAGGTCCCCCTCCCTTTGGGCTGGAGTGGCGACACCAGCACCAGGGTAAGGGGCACCTGCTCCTGGCTGCAACTCCTGGGCTAGAGGGCCAAATGCCAGCTGCCCGGGATGGGGCAGTGGCGTTTGCCGCTTGGGATGATAGTGAGCCATGGGGGCCGTGGACTGGCAATGGCACGCTCAGGCTACCCGCAGTGCAGCCCCGCCAGGAGGGCGCCTACCTGGCCACCGTGCACCTCTCATACCTGCAAGGGCAGGTCGCTCTGGAGCTTGCTGTGCAGAGTGAGTGGGGTCCCCAGGGGGAGAGGGTGGGCACTGGGATTGGGGGACACCATCACAGGGGGAGGAACAGTGGAGAAGAGGATGCAGGGTGAGTGGGGGGAAATATAATGAGGTCACTGGGAGTCAGAAAGGCAATGGGTGGAGGGTCCCTGGGAATGAGGGGAATTGGAGTAAAGTTCCAAAATCTGAGGGAATAGGGATCCCTTAGAATCGGGGCTTTGACATGAGAAGTCAGGTGACACACCGAAGGGGAAAGAGCGGGATTGCCTGGGAGAAACGCCCGCCCCTTAGCTTTCGGGGAGCCAGAGAGCAAACAGGGCTCTGAGGGAGGACAGTGTAGATTCACTCCCTGCTCTCTTCCCACTCTCGTCCCAGAGCCCCCCAAAGTGTCCCTGATGCCAGCACCTCTGGTATGGGCTGCCCCTGGGGAGGCACCCCCAGAATTGCTCTGCCTTGTGTCCAACTTCTACCCCGCGGAGGGCCTGAAGGTGGAGTGGGAACTCCGGGGCCCAGATGGCAGCATCCGGGAGGCCGAGGGGCACCGGTGGCTCTCGGCCCTGAACCACCACTCGGACGGCTCCATCAGCCTCTCGGGGCACCTGCAGCCGGCCCCGGTCACCTCCGCTCAGCACGGGGCCCGCTATGCCTGCCGTGTCCACCACCCCAGCCTGCCCGCCCTGGGGCGCAGCGCTGAAGTCACTTTGGAGGTGGCAGGTGAGAGCCAAGGGGTTGAGAGGGGAGGGGTGCTGGGAAGATGCTTGGAGCTCACTCTCTCCCTCCTGCCAGGTCGCTCTGGACCCTCCCTGGAGGATGGCATCGGCCTCTTCCTGTCCGCCTTTCTGCTCCTAGGGCTCCTCAAGGTGCTATGCTGGGCAGGTGAGTGAGCCGCCGGAAGTCATTCCCTACCTGTTCCCAGAGCCGCACCCCCATCCTCACATCCAGCCCTTCTCCATCTCTCCACAGCTGTCTACCTGTCTGCTTCCAAGAAGTCAGAGGAGAAGGTAAAAGCGCTCCACCTTTGCTTAATTCTTCCCTTCTCATCCATTCCCGTCCCCCAACTCCTCACCCACGGAGGGAGGCTGCGGGTGTGGTGGCAGAACCTGGCCTCGGAAGTCACACAGACCTGGGTTAAAGCCTGACATCTTGAACAGACTACTTAACCAGCGTCTCAGTTATCTCAGTTTCCTTGGGTGTAGGGATAAAAATAATAATTTAGGCAATGCTGTCCAATAGAAATATAATGCAAGCCACATATATAAATTTTAATAACCTAGAAGTCATTTTAAAAGGTGTTGACATGCCCCAGCCTATTTGGCTCGGTGGATAGAGCGTCGGCCTGTGAACTGAAAGGTCCCAGGTTTAATTCCTGTCAGGGCACATGCCCGGGTTGTGGGCTCCAGCCCCAGTGGGGGACTTGCAGGAGGCAGCTGATCCATGATTCTCTATCATCATGGATGTTTCTATCTCTGTCTCCCGCTTCCTTCTTCTCTGAAATCAGTAAATATATATTCTTTAAAAATAAAAATAAATGTATATTTCTTAAAAATAAAAGGTGTTGACATTAAAAAAATGTTCAAACCTGTAGAGAATTTTTTTTTAATCTTAAAATTTTTTAAAAATTTGGATGTAGAGATGAAGGGAGAAACATCAGTTTGTTGTTCCACTCATTTAAGCATTCATTGGTTGATTATTGTGTCTTGACAGAATTTGAACTAGCACCTTTAGCACATCAGGATGATGCTCTAACCAACTGAGCTACCCAGCCAGGGTTGTAGAGTTAATTTGAACCAAACTGCCAATTGTCCAGAAGCAAGCTCTCCATTGCTCCTCAAAACAAGTGTGCAGCTTCTTTTATGCATTGGAATTAAGGGGGAACATAGGAAGATCGCACGGAGGTAGGACCGGATTAGGATGGTGAACGGAGCTTATGTGCTTCCTTGAGGGCGGTTACTATTTCAAGGGTGTGTTGACCTAGATGCACAGAAGCAACGGACAGGGCTGGCTTACAAAGATCAGCCATTTTCTGAAGAAGTTACAGGCCTGGGGTGTGCCTACCCACCCTGACCTGTCCAGTTAGGAATTCATGACCAGGTCACCCTGGGAGGCTACTTTCTATATTGTTCATTCAGAAAGATAAAAAGAAACAGGTAAAGTTGATAATACAGTTTATTCCATCTGGTATATCCAAACTATTATTATTATAACATGTAATTAGGGTAAGAAAGTCTAGTTTTCTACTGTCCTAAGTCTTCAAAAACAGGTGTTTAAACGGCCAGCAAATCTCACTGCAGACGCGCCAAGTTTCAAATGCTCAGACACGTGGCGGTGGCTCCTGCCCTGGGCTGCGGAGCCTTCAGGGGCTGCAGGGAGGGTCAGAGGAGCATCTCCTGGGAGACAGGAGCGAAAGCACTGTGCACAGGGTCTGCCAGGCAGGAAACGGAATGCTAGCTCCATTTTCCCACGCTCTGCCATGATGGTTTCTGTCTCTGGGTGAGTCATGGATTTCTAAACCCCCAAATTCCTCACCTCATTTTTACTTCTTTTCCAGAAATCACAGTGAAGGCACTCACCGCCACCTGGGGAAGCCACCATCACCTGTCACCTGCTCCTGCTTTCTGTCTCTCCGCTGCGTGGCTTGAAGGATTTCTTTTTTTGTTTTGTTTTCCCCCCACAGACTCAGATCCATGCATTCACCTTCTTAGAGCTCAAGGGCAGCTGTTTCTCACAATTTTTAGTCTCAGGACTTCTTAAAAATTAATAAGGACTCTAAAGAGCTTTTCTTATGTGCACACATTTAGCATAATAGAACTTAAAACTGAGGCAAGTTTAGCCCGGCTGGTATGGCTCAGTGGTTGAGCTTCAACCTATGAACCTAGAAGTCATGGTTCCATTCCTGGTCAGAGCAAATGCCCGGGTTGTGGTCTCAATCCCCAGTGTAGGGCGTACAGGAGGCAGTTGATCAATAATTCTCTCTCATCACTGATGTTTGTCTCTCTCTCCTCCCTTTCTGAAATCAATAAAAATATTTTTTTAAAAAAACCGAGGAAAGTTTAAAACAATACAGTGCTTGCTCTGGCAGCACATATAGCAAAATTGGAACAATACAGAGATTAGCATAGCCCTGAGCAAGGATGACATGCAAATTTGTGAAGTGTTCCATATTTAAAAAAAAAAACACAAAAAATTCTGAATACACTAGCACATTCCATTAGGTTTGAAGGCGATGTAAATACACATCATGTAGTTCTTGAAAAACTCCACAGTACTTTCTATTAATCTTCACCAAAGAATATTTTTTTCCATTGATTTTTAAGTAGAAGGGAGGGGTAGAGACAGAAACTTCATTGGTTGCCTCCTGAACCCACCTCCACCGACCTGAGACCTATGGACCCACCAAAGAGGTACTGGGCCCTTCAGTCAGTCCTCACGCCAGTGCTCTAACCACTGAGCAACCAGCCAGGCTCCACAGTACAATTTTTAGAGAAAGAGTAGAAAAGGCAAACAGGACCTTAGTATTATTGTGAAAGCAGCTTTAACTTCGGGCGTAATCTCAGGGCCTCTGGGACAGGGCCACCCTTGGAGGACCTGAGCTACTGGAGGACGGGTCCTTCTCTCGGCCCCAGAGCTCCGCTCCGCTCCCCTGCCAGGTCCATCCCCGCTTTCCCTGCGAACCAGCCCAGTCCACCTGGTCCTCCCCGAGACCCCTCCCCCAGGTGCCAGTCCCCGCCCGGACCCCGCCCCTGACCACTGCTGTGCCCCGCACCCTGCTCTTGGTCCTGAGTTTCCTCTCCGTCCCTGCAGGGGGGAGGCTGGGCGGGCGGGCGGGGGTCCGATCGGGTGGAATAAAGCTGTTCCTCCCAGTCACCTGCGGTCCCTCCCAACGACTCCGACCTCCCACGACGCCCAGCCCGGGGGTCGGGCGCCCCGCGCGGCAGCTCCCCGGGCCCAGGCGGGGGTCCCGGCCGCCGCCCGCAGCCGGAAGCGCCCGGCGCCCTGGAAGCGGAGGGACGGCTTCCGGCGGGAGGCGGGCTCGAGGGCTCCCGGGAAACCCCGGAGCGGACTGCAGCCGCGGCCCGCGCTGGGGAGGGGAGTGCAGCCGGGGTGGGGGGGAGTAACGGTCTCGCCCCGGAGACGCACCCGCGGGGACCAGTCTCCTGGGGCCGGGGAGCGTCCGGTGCTGCCCCGGCCCGGGAACCGCCCCGTTCAGTGAGGGGCCCGGGCCGGGGCCCCGAGGGGCGCGGAGCTGGGGCGGCTCCGGTCCCCGCGCCCGGCGCGCGCCCAGCCCGGCCCTGGCTCCGGCGCTCACTTCCTTCCCGTTTTGGCTGCGGCGCCCGGAGCGGGCGGACGTGGGGGGAGCGGAAAGGGCGGGAGGCCGGCCCGGGGGGAGACGGGGTGCGGAAAAGCCGGGAGGGGACTCGGCCGGGGACCGGAGACCGACGGCAACAGCGGCCCGGGCCGTCCCGAGCAGGTCAGCCAGAGCCCGGTGACCCCCCCCCGGCGCCGGGCCTACGCCCCCCCCCCCGCTCCCACCGGACTTCCGCCCGCTCCCGGCGCCCCTGACCGCCCCGCTCCTGTCTCCCCAGGCGCCCCCATGGCCCGGCCCTGCTGACGCCCCGCCATGCTCCCGCGGCCCCTGCGGCTGCTCTGGGACCCGAGCCCCCCCGGGGGAGTGGTGCTGAGCAGCTTCCGGAGCCGAGACCCCGAAGAGGGTGGGGGCCCCGGCGGCCGGGGCGCGGGCGAGGGGCAGGAGGAAGAGGAGGAGGAGGAAGACGAGGTGAGGCGCGGGAGGTGGAGGTCGGGGTGTTGCGGAGGCTCCCCTTCCTCTCGCCGTCCTGTCCCGGTGTTTCCTCCGCTGCCCCGGAGGTTTCCGCTCCTGCGGCCGCGCGCCCGCCGCGGGGGGCCCGGCGTCCCCGTCCTCCGCCCGCAGGACCTGCCGTCCTCCGGGCGCCCGACGGCTGCCCGCGGCCCGGCCCTCCGCCCGGCCGCAGCGTGCCGGCCTCCGGGCCGGCGTTTGGGTCCCGGCTCCCCGCCGGCAGCGCATTTGTTTGGCGGGGAGGGGTTAGTTTCCACGGTAACCGCTCCGCGGGCTCCGGGATTGGGGAGGGAGCCCTTCGGCTGCGTGACCCCTCCCCCTCCCGCCCGGCGCCCGTGGAGGCGGGAAACCCGGGTTTGGATCTGGGAGGGACGGTCCGGGCCGAGCGGGGAGCGCCTGCCCTCCCCCGGGGCCGAGTGGAGCCGGGAGCGGGGTGGGGGCCTCCCGAGGGCCAGACGTCGGATGGGGCCCGAGGGCCCCGGACTGCAGGGTCCCGGGCTGGGCGAGGGCAGTGACTGGCAGGGCTGGTTTTTCGGGATCGGCTGGGGGAGGGGCCGTAGCCACGTGACTCCAGAGTCTACCGTCCCCCGCCCCCATCATCCCCACTTCCCCTTCTCCTTCCTGCGCTGGGATGAGAGCCGCCACCGGGAGGGGGTCTCCGGACGGGAGGAAAGGGGCCCGAGGGCAAAGGCTAACTTAGGGCTTGGCCAGCGCTTTAGGGGAGGGCGGGGCGTGAGGTTTCAGCTTCTCAAGGCCTCTGCTCTGGCTTTCTGTCTCAGTTCCCCTCCTGCGCTTTGCACCCTGCTTCTCTGCTGGGCTGGGGTTCAGCTCTGGGGGCAAGGGGCTCGGGTGGTCTCCAGGATCAGGGTTCCTGCATTCCACCCGCTCCCCCACCGCAAACCCCTCGACTCCACCGGGCCCTGAGGCGGTTTGGGTGGGGCTGTCTGGGCCCTAGTGGGAGAGACCTGGGGTCACCAGCACCCCCAACCCCTCGCACTCGATGGTACTATCCCCCGCCCTCACAGGTGAGGGGTAAGGGGGAGGGGCGGGGCCTGGGGGAGGGCTGGGGCCGAGGGCGATGAGGGCCTGTCTGACTCCCTTCCTTACTCCTGCAGGCCCCTGTGTCTGTCCGGGATGAGGAGGAGGATGGTGCCACCTTTACTGTCACAAGCCGCCAGTATCGGTCTCTTGATCCCTTGGTGAGATAACTGGCTTCTCCCCTCTGACCCATTACCCCCGGAAGGCCAGAGTGCTAAGTTGATCTGGACCTGGACTCTGCTGGGTGACGCTGGTCAATCCTTTGTCCTCTCTGGATCTGAGCCTGGGTCATCGGCTAGGTCTGGGCTTTTCCCAAAACCTAGGGCAGTTGAAGAAAGGAGCAGTGACACCCCTCTGTCTCCCCAGGCCCCGACACCTCCCCCGCGGTCCTCCCGAAGGCTCCGAGCTGGCACCCTGGAGGCTCTGGTCAGACACCTGCTAGATGCCCAGACGGCAGGGGCCGATGTGACCTTCACAGCAACCTTCCTGGCCACCCACCGGGCCTTCACCTCCACGCCTGCTCTGCTCGGGCTTATGGCTGACAGGTCAGGGTGGTAAGGGACCAGGGTCATAGAGATACTGGGCTTCCTAAAGCCAGAATAGCCACCAGAGTGGTCAAAGCCACCGGGGCTGGAGAAACAGACGGGATCTTCCTTTGCCCAGGCTGGAAGCCCTTGAGTCCCATCCTACTGATGAACTAGAGAGGACAAAAGGGTGAGTGACCCCCCGTTCTCAGCCTCCAAGTCCCCTCTGCCCGAGCTGCAGCTTGACATCTGACCCCTGGCTGATCCCCCTTCTCCCAGGGTAGCCATCTCTGTGCTGTCAACCTGGCTGGCCTCTCACCCTGAGGATTTTGGCTCTGAGGTCAAGGGTCAGCTTGACCGGCTTGAGAGCTTCTTGCTTCGGACAGGGTATGCAGCAGGGGAGGGTGTTGGGGGGGACAGCGCTGACCTCATCCGAAACCTCAGGTCCCGGGTGGACCCCCAGCCCCCCGACCTTCCTAAGCCCCTGGCCCTCCCCGGCGATCCCCCTGCTGACCCCACGGATGTCCTGGTGTTCCTCGCTGACCACTTGGCCGAGCAGCTGACCCTGCTAGATGCGGTGAGACCCTGACCTGTGACCCCCATGCCCGTGCCCCCTCACTAACCTTGCCCTGACTCCAGATCCTTTCCTCGCTCCCAGCCCTTCCCGCCTCCTCTGCCCACCCCGTGCTGACCTTCCCCGTTACCCTTGGTTGTCACCCTTCAAATCCTGTGCCCTTTGGGTCCTTGGCCACCTGAGATCCTCACACCCTAACATTGGAAGGCTGGTTCTCTTGACTGTGAACTTTAACCTCTGGCCTCTTCCCCACAGGAGCTGTTTCTCAATCTGGTTCCCTCTCAGTGCCTGGGGGGCCTGTGGGGTCACAGAGACCGGCCGGGACATTCTCACCTCTGCCCATCTGTGCGAGCTACTGTCACCCAGTTCAACAAGGTGGCAGGGGCCGTGGTCAGCTCTGTCCTGGGGGCCATCTCAACCGGGGAGGAGCCTGGGGAGGTGACCATACGGCCACTCCGGCCGCCCCAGAGGGCCCGGCTTCTGGAGAAGTGGATCCGAGTGGCCGAGGTAAGAGAGAAGGTCAGGGCCGTTGGGGACCGCAGTGTGGAGAGAGATCCCACAGCGTGGCCGCCCTCTGTGACCCACAGGAGTGTCGTGTACTCAGAAACTTCTCTTCAGTTTACGCCGTGGTGTCGGCCCTGCAGTCCAGTCCCATCCACAGGCTTCGGGCAGCCTGGGGGGAAGCAGCCAGGTGGGGAGGATGGGGCGCTGGGCTGGGCTGAGGGCCGGGAGGGGGTGCTGAGCCGCTGGTCCTCAGCCTGCTGCCCTCCCTCCTCCAGGGACAGCCTCCGGGTTTTCTCCAGCCTCTGCCAGATTTTCTCCGAGGAGGATAACTACTCCCAGAGCCGGGAACTGCTCCTGCGGGTGAGCCCCGTTCCCCGGCCTCCAGCTCCCCCTGTACCCCCCCCCTCATTTCTCCTCCTTCTGTCCCCCAGGAGGCGAAAGCACAGCCCCATCTGGAGCCCAATTCCAAGAAGACCCCCAAGTCTGGCTCCCGGGGTGGGGTGAGTGCCGGGGGTGGGGGGTGTGAGGAGTAAGGAGAGTGTGTTGGGGGTGCAGTCAGAGGGAAGGGGGAGAAGGGCACAGCGGGGTGAGGACTATTCCCTTTGCCTGACCTCTCCTCAGGGTGTGGTCCCATACCTTGGCACCTTCTTGAAGGACCTGGTGATGCTGGATGCGGCCTCCAAGGATGAGCTTGCGGTCAGTGTATGCTCAGTGGAAGGCTAGAACCAGGGGTTCAGGGCCAGACACCTCCCTGCAAGAAGGTGCCAGGCATGAGCGCTGAGGCTGCACCAGGGCTCGGGCCGAGCCCAGGGTTCTGGTCCTGCCACTTTGGCGAGCTGCGTAACCGTGTGTCCGAGTGACCTGCGAATGGGAAGCTAGTGACAGTGTCTACCTCTGTTAGGAAGGTGAAATGCATTCCTCCTGGCAGTGCTTAGAACATGCCAGAACTTAAGCTTACATAAACTTGGTTAAGTGATTGAATGCTGGAACTTTGGGCAAGTTCCTAATCCTCTCTGAGCCCTGATTTTCTCTTGGATGACGTGGGCAGTTTCTAACCTCAATGTAGAGGGTAAGAAAGGGTGCTTAGGGGATGACAGATGGGGGGGGGGGGTGTCAGAGAGGTGCCTGTATTTGGAGGGGCGTAGTCTCTCTGACAGGGTTGGCCTCTCACCCCGCCCCTTTATTCTTGCAGAATGGATACATCAATTTTGACAAGCGGAGGAAGGTGAGGGGGTGCTTGGGCTGGGTGCTAGAGAGCCCGAGCACGTCCCAGGAAAGGGAGAAGGAAGGAGGGGAAAGTTGGGATCCCTGAGTTTTGGCTCCTACAGCCTGAGGGTCCCTTCCTAGGAGTTTGCTGTCCTTTCTGAGCTGAGGCGGCTCCAGAATGAATGTCGTGGCTATGACCTGCGACCCGACCCTGACATCCAGCAGTGGTTACAGGGGCTGCGGCCACTGACAGAGGCCCAGAGGTGACTTGCTGTGAGGGTGGGACTTCAGGGCTCAGGCCGGGCATGGGGATCACGTGCCACAAGCTGACCTCTGTCCATCGCCCCTCTCCCCAGCCATCGAGTGTCGTGTGAAGTGGAACCACCTGGTTCCGGTGACCCTCCTGCCCCTCGAATGCTTCGGCCTACGCTGGTCATCTCGCAGTGGACAGAGTGAGGGATCGTGGCTGGGGGGTAGTCTCTTGGGGACTTGCCTTCTTCCTCTGACCCTCCCAATCCCCTGCCACTCCAGGGTTCTTGGCTCTGTTGGGGGTCCCACCCCGCTTGTCTCCTGGGACCGGCCCAATGTTGGAGATGAGGTGCCTGGAAACCCTGCTCCTCTGTTGACTCGCCTGGCCCAGGTGAGCTCTGCTCCTGACCTCTGACCTCAACACTGACCCCGACTCTTGTGAATGTTCCTTCCTTGACCCCCTGCCTCACAGCAGTGCCCATGTTGTTTGCCCCCAGCACATGAAGTGGCCGTCTGTGTCATCTCTGGACTCCGCCCTGGAAAGCTCTCCGTCCCTACACAGTCCGGCGGGCCCCAGCCACCTCTCCCCGCCGGCCTCCTCTCCCAGGCCTTCTCGAGGTCACCGCCGCTCAGCTTCCTGTGGCTCCCCACTCAGTGGGGGCGCAGAAGGGGCCTCCAGGGGGCCTGCATCCGGGGGAGGGGGCTCTGGGCCAGGGGCTTCTGATTGTCGAATCATCCGAGTCCAGATGGAGCTGGGGGAAGATGGCAGTGTCTACAAGAGCATCTTGGTGAGGGGCCGTGGGCTGGAGGTGGGGTGCGGATGGTGCTTTGTGGGATCATAGTTTTAGGCTTAAAGCCAAATGGGAAGGTGATTGCAGTTTTAATTCTGACCGCTCTATTGTAAAGCATTGTTAGCTGCGGCACCGGAACCTTTGGTGACCTGTCAGATTTTTACAACAAGCAGCAGTTGTCCCCACAGGGAAGCAGCCCTGTGTCTGGCCACGAGGGTTGGCCTGTGGAGGACAGAGGGCCACCACATTGGGTTTCCCTGTTCGCTCTAAAGTACTGAGTGGCTGTGGTGGTTCCCAACCTTTTTTTGGCCACGCCCCACCTAACCCTCTCTAAATCCTGATGCCTCTCCCCCGTGACGTAGAATTCCTATTATTCAAAAAGTGAGCTGCAATTCACGTGGAGGAAGGCTGAAAGGCCAAGAATTTGGTCTAAACAAGCTTCCAAACAACATGGCATCCATGCAAGAGAAAAAAGAACGAAAGGACTGCTGAAGTACTGAGGAAGAAATCACTAAGAGATGGTTAAAAAATAATATGAAGTGATATGAAAAAATGGCAGTTTCAAATCATCTAATAGAGAACTGAAATCCATAAATGTCACTACCTATATACTGTATATGAGGCTCCTAGAACCATAAGAAATGCAAAAAGTCACTGTCAGTAACTCATTCTCGAATTGCCCCCTCTGGGGCATGTACCCCACGTTGGGAACCACTGGTTAGAACACTGGTCATTGCACCAAAGGGTCAGGGGTTCGATTTCTGATCAAGGGCACATACCTGGGTTGCAGATTCAATCCCCAGCCCCAGTTTTGGGGTGTGTGCAGGAGGCAACTCATCCATGTGTCTCTCTTGCATCGATGCCTCTCTCCCCCCTTCCACTCTCTCAAAGATACATATATTGGACACGGGTAACCTTTTTTGGTTGGGGGATCAGTGGCTGGGGTTGGAAGGATGGGAAGCAGAGGTCATTCTGGCCAGTTTATCGATTTTGGTTTCCTGTCCTGCCAGGTGACAAGCCAGGACAAGGCTCCAAGTATCATTAGTCGTGTCCTTAAGAAAAACAACCGTGACTCCGCAGTGGCTTCGGAGTATGAGCTGGTGCAGCTGCTACCAGGGGAGCGAGGTAAGAGACGTGGGGGGGGGGGGGGTTGCCCATCAGTGGGGATGTGTCTCTATCCAGGCGGTTATTGGGGAACAACTGTTTGAGCTTGACACCTCTCTGAACCCACAGAGCTGTCCATCCCACCCTCTGCCAACGTCTTCTACGCTATGGACAGAGCTTCACATGATTTCCTCCTGCGGCAGCGGCGAAGGTCCTCCACTGCTACGCCTGGCCTTGCCAGCGGCCCCTCTGCCTCTGGAACGCCCCCAAGTGAGGGAGGAGGGGGGTCCTTTCCCAGGATCAAGGCCACAGGACGCAAGATAGCCCGGGCACTGTTCTGAGGAGGAAGCTCTCGGCTCAGGGACTCCTGGAGACCACACCAGATGTGGTAGCCGTGCTGAACAGTGACGGTTACATTGCATTGGGAAGAAACCAGAAAGGTGGCGACTACCCTGGGGCAGTGAAGTGCCACTGGTTTGTCAGACAGACAAGAGGTCCCGCCCTGTGGGAACTGGTAATGAAGTTGGATGCCTGTGTATAACCCCCTTTTCCATGAACATAGCACATGGCCATGCCACAGCAGGCCAAGGGCCAAGGGAAGGCCTACAAGGGGGGGAAGAAAGACCTAGAGGCCCTGAGTCCCAGGAAGAGAGGATGGCAAGAAGAAGGTTCCTGTTCTGGGGATTCCCGTCACTGTGACAACACTAAAATAAACCAAAACACTACCTGAATTCTCCTCCCCTGTCCTGGCAGTGTATGAACCAGCTGCTGGAAGTGTGGGCGGGGAGCCGATTGGAATTTAGATTCCATGGAACATTTTCTATCCCATTGAAGACCTGAAAGTGGAGTCTTGCCCCAAAACCATGTCCTCAGAATTCTGGTTTATTTCTCCCTAGCGACCCCTCCATCCCTGATCCCTTTATTTGCTCTTAAAGTTTCTCCTTAGTATCATAGATCCATGTCAAGTACTAGCATCCTGTTAAAGCGATCAGAATGAACTCCCCTGGCTGCAAATTTGTAAGAAACATTTTAGGACAAAAGACATGAAGAACTTTGTGGGCAGTGTACAAACTTGGAGGCCTTACAACCTCACAAAGTATGTGCTAGGATTTAAATCGGTCCAAGCTACATTCAAACAAATTCTAGGAGACTAAAAAGAACTAAGATGCTGAGGCTACTTGGGAGGATAAGAAATCCTAGTACTGAGGCCCCCTTTCTTCCCGGGTCTCAGAGGAGAAGACTGAGTTAAATTCAGCTTCCACTTGCATCATAAATGCCCTCATGTTTCCTAAGGGGGCATGCCAATCAAGCTAAGTGTTTTATGTACAGATGAGGTTTGAGATATTTTAGATTTTAGTCTCAAAAAATGATGGATGACTCACAAAGACTGCAGTTGCAAGAATTTGGACTTGATTTAACAGGTGGTGTACATCCATTAGGTGGAAGGGCTGGGATAATGGATGAAGACAATTGTGACAGAAGTGGCTGGTCAAACAGCCAGGTGTTTTCACATTTTATTAGCTACAGTATAGACCCTAGAGCTGCCTGGGTTCTCCCCGCCCCCCCTCCCATAGGGTCAGGCCTTGCCAGAAGGCCCTGCCTTTGCCGCCTGGGCCCGCTGGAACTCCTGCTGCAGCTGAGCAAGGGTCTCCCTCTGTTGCTCTGACTGCTGCTCGAGGTCCCGGAGCTGGGATTCGTATCGCTTACTGAGAAGAGGCAAGAGAGACAAGCAAATAAGTTAGGGAGACTTACTGAGGATGCTGAAGGAAGAAAGATCAGTGGACAACTTGAGATCTAGGGCAGGGAGGGGGAGAGGTTAAAGGGGGAGGGGGTGGAGGAAGTGGACGATGGGGCTGCTCTCCTATGGTGTCAGACGCATCACAGAGTGGGGGACAAAGACTCACATTTCAGCTGTGATATAGTCCAGTCTCTTCCCTACTGTGGCCCGAGCCTCCCCCAGCTCCTGTTTGACCAGCACGGGACCCAGAAGTTTAAAGACCACGTTGGACCCATCCAGCAAGGCCAGTTCCTGGTGGAGGCATGGGGGACTCAGAATCCTTGTCAGTACAGCCCCTCCCTCCTTGCCCCACAAACCCCAATCTCACCTCCTTCACGATGTTATTTTCTGTTAGTTGTGCTTCAAGCTTCTGCCGCCCAGACATGGATTTACTCAAGTCTGGGGGTGGGGGTGGGGGTGGGGGTGGGGGTGGGATGGCAGGAAAGACTTTATTAGAGAAAACACAAGTGCTACCAGACCCCACAATCCTAGTCAGGAGATGGAGGTGGGGAGGCAGCCAAGGATGGGGCGGCGCGTCCGGGTTGGGAAGAAATCATGACCTTAGCATGGCTTTGGGTTCGGAGTGAGTGCAGGGATGGGGGAAGCTGCGCCGACCCTCCCCTTACCCTTCTGCAGCTGCTGATATTTCTCCACTTCTCCCTGTAGCTTCTTCTGGATCAGCTCAGCCATGGCGGCGGCGAGCCTGCGGGAGGGGGGCGCTGGGTCTCACTCTGGAAGGCTCCGAGCTCCCGGTAATGGTCTGGCTTCCGGAGATGACAGCACTCTTGGGCGGCGGCCTCTCGGGGCACAGCAGCTCCTCCCGTTCGTATCCACACGGCCCAGGCAGCAGGGGGTGGCAGCTGAAAGGAGACCCCAAACCGAAACCCTGCCTCCCTCGTTCTCTCTTCAGTGATTATAAACCCGGAAGTAAACAAAGAATGCTGGGAATGCTACCGTATGATGCATGCCGGGAATTGTAGTTCATACGTGTTTAATAAGCGACGTTCTGCTAAAGATAGAAATTTTGAAGATTCCAGAAAGATGGGGAAACGAAGATGGAAAAATCAACCGCACCGCTTCTTGGGACCTGATCCCTTGCCTTTCTTTCGTTACTCGCGCATAAGCTGCTACTCGGAGGAGCGGGACCAAGGTCCGCCTGGCCCCTTAAGGGAGAGCCGCCCTCATTCAAGATGGCGACTTTAGGCGTCACACCTGGTACGGCGCTGATTGGATGAGAGCTGGAGGACTTCCGGGAGATACCTGTGAGACTGGGACAGCTGGAGGCGTTGGCACGTGGGTCGTCCTTAGGGTGGCAGGATGGAGACTGCCCCCAAGCCGGGCAGGGATATCCCTCCCAAGAAAAGTAAACTTCAGAACAAGAAAAAGGTAGAGATCTTCCTGGGGCGGAAAGAAAGTTTTCAACCCCGGGGTCGGAGGGGCGGGGCAGGGGCAGCGGAGGATCAGGGCTTCTGCTCTGCCCGTGGAAACCGCCACGAGCCGAGCGGGCCTGATTCAGTGCTTGGGCATTGACCTATGAACCTATGACATAGGGACCAGGAGGTCATGGTTCAGTTCCCTGTCGGGGCACATGCTCCGGTAGTAGGCTTCATCCCCATGCGGGGTGTGCGGGAGGCAGCCGTCAATGATTGTCTCATCCTTGGTGTTTCTCTCCCTTCCTCTCTGAAATAATTGTATTTCCTTTATGTTTATAAAAGAGACCGCGGCGATACTGGGAGGAAGAGATCACTCCGACCACTGCTACAGCCTCTGCAGAGCCCCCTCCTAACAAGAAGAGGAACGGAGAGCCCCGCCCCCAGAAGCCAAAGAACACTCACACCCCAAAGAAGTCTCGCCCCTCCAAGAAGCCCCAGTTCTTAAAGAAACCCCGAGGACAGAGGAATGCGGAGCCTCCGCGGAGCTTGTCGGGGGTGAGCATGGGGCCTGATAGGGTAGCGGGGCAAGGTGCCTTGTGCTTTGAGGATGCGAAGGTTGGGTTCCATCCGAGCCTGTCAGCGAATTGCCTCCTCCCTGCCCCAGGCCCAGGACCCATTCCCAGGCCCCGCCCCGGTCTCTGTGGAGGTTGCTCAGAAGTTCCGTCGCATTGACAAATCCAAAAAGGTGAGGACCAGTCTGAGGGGGTTGCAGGCAGGGAGTGTCTGGATGAGATGGATGGAGACGGGACCATGTGGCTCTCTTGTAACCTCATATAGTATCTTTTCTCCTCCCATATATTCCCCACCAACCATGTGGTAGCTGCCACATTCTAAGTCCAAAACCCGAAGCCGGCTTGAGGTGGCTGAAGCTGAGGAAGAGGAAATAAGTGTCAAAGCTGCTCGTTCTGAGCTGCTGCTTGCTGAGGAACCTGGGTGAGTGGCCCTGATCTGGGCCCTCAGCCCCTGCTTTCTGGGCTGTCCTTTCGTGTTTTCGTGTTGGTGCACTTACTTCACATTAGGAAGCTCTTCTGCAGCTCCAACACTCCCTTGCAGGTTTCTGGAAGGGGATGAGGGGGAGGACACAGCCAAGATTCGCCAGGCGGACATCGTGGAGGCTGTGGACATTGCCAGTGCAGCCAAGGTGAGCCTGGGGAGGGGACCGGGCCAGGCAAGACGAAGTGGGGACTAGAAGGGGGAATTACTGAAGTGAGCCATTTAGTTCTTGATCCTTTTTTTGACTCTTCCCTTTCCCAGCACTTTGACTTGAACTTGCGACAGTTTGGACCCTACAGGCTGAATTACTCTCAGACTGGGAGGTAAGGTTGAATTCTAGTGTCTCTGGAACTGGAATGAGGGCATGTCTCCTTAACCATGTCAGCCAGGCCCTCCTCAGCCATGCCTGTGTATGTTTGGGTTGTTGTGGTATGTGTTCTGTGATTTGCTTGCATGTGAGAGTGAACACGTATGACATCTCTCCTCTCACCTGGGAAGAAGGGGCTGGCATGAAGACCTCCACTGGTCTGAGGGTGCTCCGGCATTGACACCCTGCTTGTTCCCCACCTCCAACAGACATTTGGCTTTTGGAGGGCGCCGGGGTCACGTGGCTGCCCTTGACTGGGTGACAAAGAAGCTCATGTGTGAGATCAACGTCATGGAGGCAGTGCGGGACATCCGGTCAGTGCCTGTCCGTCCGGGGTCAGTGGCGGTGAGACAGCCCTTCTTGATTGGATGACGCTGTGACCTCTTACCCGCTGCGCTCTCCTCCCAGGTTCCTGCATTCGGAGGCACTGCTTGCTGTCGCCCAGAACCGCTGGCTTCACATCTATGACAACCAGGGAATTGAACTCCACTGCATCCGCCGCTGCGACCGCGTCACGCGGCTTGAGTTCCTGCCTTTCCACTTCCTCCTGGCCACATCTGTGAGTGGCTGTCAGCACAGGGCCTGGGTGGGACCTGAGAAGACTATGAGAGGGAGGACAGCGCAGTCAGGACTCATTTCTCTCTCAGTCAGAGACAGGCTTTCTGACCTACCTGGACGTGTCCGTGGGGAAGATTGTGGCGGCTCTGAATGCCCGGGCTGGACGACTGGACGTCATGACACAGAACCCTTACAACGCCGTCATCCACCTCG